TAGAGTCTGCGCTCTTAACCACTACACCAAACTGGCTTCTTCAATGAAAATTGGAATTAAGCTGTGCATGCCTAATAGGCCAATAATAAAAGGCAAAAGATTGAGTTGTATTATACCACTCTAAGTGTGAGGCCTTGCATGAAAAAAAGCCTCTTCTGCTAGACAAATCCTCCCTGTGTCAGATGAAGGCTCCATAGAGATGAAGAGAGAGAAGAGATTGGATTTATACCCCGTCGTTCACTTGGAGTCTCAGAGCAGTTTACAAACTCCTTTACCTTCCCCTGCCCCTCAACAGACACCCTGTGAGGTAGGTGGGGCTGCGAGAGCTCTTTCAAGAACTGCCCTTTCAAGGACAGCTCTGACAGAACTATGGCTTGCCCAAGGTCATCCAACAGCTGCAAGTGGAGGAGTGGGGAATCAAACCTAATTCTCCCAGATTAGAGTCCATGCACTTAACCACTACACCAAACTGGCATATTTAGCCAAGCGGAGTGATAGCATCCAACAAACATGCACCCCCCAAAAAAAACAACTAACCAGTATCCTCCAGTATATATAATTCTATTTTGGTCATGGAACACGCTCCAAAATCAGTTCGCTCTCTGATCTGTCATTCAGAGGGTCTCCCTATCCACTGGCTGCTTTGCCTGAGTCCTGTCTCCAACATTCTAAACAGTTTGCTCTTCCTCTCTCCCAAGCTAGAACCTTGCTCCCTGACATCCATCTGGTTTTCCTCAGAGTAAGGTTGCCAACTCCCACCTGGGAAAAACCTGGAAATTTGGAGGTGGACCCTGAGGAGGGCAAGATCTCTGCCACCTGGAGATCAGTTGGACTTTCTGGAGATCTCCATCCCCACCCGGAAGTGGCAACTCTACATCAGAGTGAGATGGTAGAGAATCAAGGCAGATTTAAGCCAAGCCACCTACCCATTCCAGCATGTTCTGTGACACTTTCACCTGGGTTGCTTTTTGTCTCTCTCCTTCTGTTCAGAGGGAGCCCCCCCCTATTTTGAAAACATATAGAAGAACACAAAAATCCTGCACTGAAGACAAGTTAGAAAGGAAGACTTTGATCTTTAAAAAAAAAATCACGAGGAATGATTTCATGACCATGAGGTAATAATGACCCTCTTCTCTGCTATCCATCACCCTTGAGCTCCTCCCTTGAATTTCAGAGTCTGAGTCCCAGGAGATTTGACAATCCTAGATTGGGCCATGCCTGGCCAGCAGCAGGAGAGTCAGGGCTGAATATGGTACTGGTCTGGCTCCAGGTTTTGGTGGAGCCCAGGCAAGAGGCCCCAGTCTGGGAGCGGGACAAGGTCCTCCTAGAGACCATCCCACATATATACACTCCACTATGGTGGGCGCTGTTACTATTATTCCTTACTGCCAATCAGCCCTCACCAACCAAATCACAACCCTTTGGCAATCTAGGTCTAGATCTATCAATGCCTTTGGCCAGGGTGGCTGAATGGAACTTCCATGTCCAGAGGTAGTATACCTGTGAATACCAGCTCATGTCAAACAACAGGAAGAGGCATTGGCCTCTGTGCTTGCTGTTTGTGGCAAGGGCACAGACTTTCCAATTTCCCGGGGGAGAGGGGGCTGGGCCAGAGGCATTGCTAAGTCATTAAAAGAATTGGGACCCAATGACATCATAGGGAGGAGCCAGTGACATCACAAGCCATTGTCACTATGGAGGCAGAACCATGTGGGATTTAGGGAGGGGCTCCCCAGAAATTTAGGTCTGAAGAAGTGAGCAGTGACTCATAAAAGCACATACCCTATCACAATTTTGTTAGTCTTTAAAGTGCTACTGGACTCTTACTTTTTCTATTGCTACGACAAACCACGACATTCAAAAACCAGTGGGGGGACATTTCAACCTTCCAGGACATTCAGTTGCTGACCTAACAGTAGCAGTTCTCTTACAAAGGAATTTCAAAGGGAGATTAGAAAGAGAGACTGCTGAATTGCAACTGATAATGAAGCTCAAGACAATGCAAACTCCTGGACTGAATTGAGACCTAGGTTGTTCTTCTCATTAACAATGCCTGCTATTGTCATTTGGCATCTGAAATCACTTCACTCTCCAAGACATAATGACAGTTGGACTCCCATTCTAGCTGTATCTGAAGAAGTGAGCAATGACTCATGAAGGCTCATACCCTGACAGAAAGTTTGTTAGTCTTTAAGATGCTGCTGGACTCTTGCTCCCTTTCATTAATAAGGAATGCAAGCTGTACTGTTAGGTTTACTCATAAAAGCACATACCCTACCACAATTTTGTTAGTCTTTAAAGGTGCTACTGGACTCTTACTTTTTCTACTGCTATTAGAAACCACAACATTCAAAAACCAGTGGGGGAACATTTTAACCTTCCAGGACATTCAGTTGCTGACCTAAGAGTAGCAGTTCTCTTACAAAGGAATTTCAAAGGGAGATTAGAAAGAGAGGCTGTTGAATTGCAACTGATCATGAAGCTCAAGATAATGCAGACTCCTGGACTGAACTGAGACCTAGGTTGTTCCTCTCATTAACAATGCCTGCTATTGTCATTTGGCATCTGAAATTGCTTCACTCTTCAAGATATAAGGACAGATGGACTCCCATTCTAGCTGTATCTGAAGAAGTGAGCAGTGACTTATGAAAGCTCCTACCCTGACAGAAACTTTGTTAGTCTTTAAGGTGCTGCTGGACTCTTGCTCCCTTTTACTAATAAGAATTGCAAGCTGTACTGTTAGGTTTCTTCTTCTCCCCCATCTGTTAGAAATGGAAACCGCAGCCCATATTGCTCTGCCCCTTCCAACAACACACTTATTCCCTCTCCAAGGGTTTTCAGAAAACCACATACTCTTCTCCAATCTCACTTCAGTGCCAGTTCCTGTCCTCAAACTCAGAGATACCCAAACACTCTCATTATTGGTAGAATGACACACCTCCCCTCCTCCACCTGGCTGTTGTGCATCCTACATGAAGCAGGGTGATTCAGTAGACGCAAGCCAATGCCAGTGGTCTGCATCCACCAACTCACACAGCAGAGCTCCTAGTTTCAGCACTGGAGCTAGGGGTGCCAGCCTCCAGGTGGGACCTGGGGATCCCCTGAATTAAAGCT